ATCCAAGTTTCAGTAATAGCAATTATATTAAAAGAATGTGTAAGACTACTAAGATAATGTTTTATACTCTGAAAGTTTGTGTATAAACGTCTGCTATTAAAGTGAATTAATGATAATTTGTTTTCAGTCTTAACATTGCAGTTAAACTGCTCATCCGTGTAATACTTGCAGTTATTTTCAGAGTTCTTAAAAAAGTTTATTCCAGGGTCAAAATCTTCGTCCGGTTCATGATAATGAATTTCAGTATTTCCAGTAGTGTTCAGTTCCAGATCCAGTCCCTCAAAATCTATTAACTTCTGTAACAAATCACTTGCCTCATTCCGTACATGGGTCATACTTGTTGTTGTTGGTTTCAACGCTCATCTGCCGTTGCAGATATCGATATACCTGCGTGTCTCTTCAAACATCTGAGGGTCCAGCGACTTTAACAGAGTATTTCTACGCTGTAATATTGCTACTCTTAAGGAAAGGATCTGAGTACTTCTTCCATCACTGCACAATGCCAATACCCGCCAGCCCTAATCCCTACACCTCCCCGTACACACACAGTACATTATAACTCCATTACTGCAGAAAATAAAAGCATACAAAAAAGAATAAATCTGCATATTATCAAGCTTTAATCATATTGCTCCTCTAGTACTTCAAGTATTTGAAGAAAAGTTTTTACCAGTACAACGCAATGTCACCACACTGCTGTTGGGACAGGTATTTCTGCAGATGGTAAAAAAAGACAGAGTGGAATTAGTTTAACCTCTAGAGTCCTGAGCTTTGGAAACCCAAGCTGTGCGGTCCTCATATGAGGACGCAGGGACTCTAGAGGTTAATATTGATCTAGTATGAGCCTCCTGACATTGGTTTACCAGTTGACTTACCTGAACATAAGCTGTTGTAGTATGAACACCTCAGGGTTGAAGTCAGACTTGACTATTAAGAATCCATCATCAGAGTCTGTCTTCTGTTGGCCTGATTTAAAATATGTGCCCCTGCCGGACCACGCGATGACAAATACAACTTCAGTTAAACGCGCATCTCCTTCACACGACAGTCTGGGTTTTAATGAAACATCTCACCTGCTGTATCCCATGGTGTGGCAGCTCGCTCTGCCCTGCTGGTCGGTCCAGCCGTGAGAACAAACAGTCCTCCAGCTTTTCACCTGAGCTGAGTAGACCTGGAGCAGGAAACTGGAACCGTATGTCCTCACTGAGTGCAAACACAAACAATGACTTGACATTTTGTTATAAGTATGAACTGAAGTAATTTTGATGCAAATGAAATCAAACGTGGTGTTTTCTCTTAAATGAATAGAACAGATTTTATTGAGGCATTACTTGGTGTGTACACAGTGTTTTGAAGGCAAGTGAATGTACTGCAGGTTTTTCATGTGTTTTGGTTCTTTGGCCCAAGATGATGCCATTTACCGCAGTTTGCTTCATCCTGGCCTCCTTGACAGTCCATCACTCCGTCACACCACTGGGACTCCCACACACATCTCCCATCACCACACTGCATTCCGTGCATGCATGACGAGGAGACTGGAAGGCAAGAGGAGTCAAGGAAAAGGCTTGTGTGAGAATATCAAGTGTGAATACACAGTACATGTGTGTTCCGATACAGTGAAAAGTAGGAATGAATCTTGCACTTACAGTAATAAGCGAGGAGGGTTCCAGCCAGCAGAAGAAAGATCACAGCAACCACAATGAATTTAACACACCTACGTTTTACATCTGACGACAACAACAGAACACATAGTCTGGGATCAGAAACCCACTTAAATCAAGCTTATGATAACATCTTGTTACATGTGCAGCTGTAGGCAACTTAAGTCTTATTGTTGGTGATATAAAACACCGAAGCCTGTACAAAGTTCATGTTCGAACACTTCTATTAAAATTACTCCAACAGCATTTTGCCACCACAGTAAAGTGGAGCGTGGACTACCTCTGGAGTGACTGGTCTTGGGTAGAGGCTTCGGGGCCTGAAGAACACACTGGGGCTTCTCCTCTGATTGGCCGGGTGGAAGACATACCATGTAATCATCTTCATGGATGTAACAAGGACCTGGATCCAGACACTGACAGCGAAGTGCAAGTGTTCAGAATCAAGCTTTTTAATACCGACTGCTTGTAAGAAAGTCACTTTCGGCTTTTGTCCAACAACAAAATCCTAAACATTCACTCACATTACTAAACTTAGTGTATTTATATTGTTATAGTATTAATAGGAGCAGCTTTACTTATATACTGTATATTTTTTTAAACACTGATGGAATAAAAATGAACTTACCTGACTGGTGGTCATTTTGTGTTTAACCTGCGTTCCTCAACCTGCATTAACAGTTTCTTACAAAACTGAAATGGGTGCAGTGGATAAAACAGTCCCTTGACATTTTTCAAATTTATATCTTGCTTATAAGTCAACTCTCAGCAGATGTACAGAGAAATAACATTCAGAGGTCCAGCATCAATTCTCACACCCACTGCATTCCGTTCCCTGCAGTCTCACGCCCGTGACCAAATAAAGAGAGCTTGCGTGATCATGTCAGTGGCCGCTTCTCACACTCCTGAACTGAAGTTACCGCACCCACAAGCACGACTGTTACCTCATCTAGACGCCCACAGATGTTATTTGCCTAAGTGTCCTGTGACGGGTCCTGTTAAACTATAAGATGTAGATACAGGCAAACACACAAGGCTTCAATACTTGAGTCAGTGAGTGACAAGAAAATAAAATTAACTAGTCGTATGGAAAATTTTAACACACATACACACACACACACACACACAAAAACTTAAAACAAGGGCACTTTATTTTTACTGCTGTTTGCTTATTTAATACTTATTTTGAAGAGCAGAATCTTCTACAGAACATGTAAATTGTAAAGTTGCTGTTGAATAGCTGAAAACTGTACACGCATACATTTCTAAATGAGAAGTGGTTTTATAAAATACCTAAATAATCAGTAATCCACTACTAAAAGACCTGAACAGCTGAACCGAAACAAACCCCTGCTGGATAAAAGGATTTAAATGGCATTTCAAGTGCACTTCATTTAAAAGTATATCATACATTCATGGTAGAGTTTCGGCAATTCATAGGCAAATGCTCACGACTCCAGACAAGACAAAACATTCACATTCCAATCAAGTGAAATACAGAAACAATCTAGACTTTACAGTAAATGTGTCATCCTTTAAACCAGGACACCACGGTTTCTTTTAAAATCCCTTCAGGATCTTGCAGTACACAGTAAACTGCAGCAAAGAATGAGTGATCTTTGGTAGGTTTGTAGAAGCTAAAGATTCAAAATGACTGTCTGTTATGAAAACTTCATTTATTCAAAGCTATGGAGGTCCTTTTTTGATCATGAAGGAGAAATTAAAAACTAACCAAGAAAATGTTTTTAAGTTCGACCCAGAAATGAACTGTGTTTATGTTCCAAGGCTCATCTGTGAAAATTATGAAATCAGCTGAGCAACCACCTCAGCTGATCATATAGTGAAAAAATATATCGATTCCTCTTATTAGCTGAAGTAGGGTTTACTCAGGTGGTGTCTACACCCAGGCTTGCCAGCCCGGAAACAGTCTGCTGAGGTTTTTGGGGTCCATCGCTTGGTGGATGAGCAGGTTGACCTGTCCCCCCACGCTAAGCACCGTACCCTCCTCCACCCCCTTCAGCTTCTCCTGCAGCCGCAGCAGCACTCGCTCCGCCACCTTGTTGAAGCTCTGACTGTCACTGCAGGAAGAAGAGCATGAGGGGATGGTTAAGAGCTGAAAGAGAGACGGAAACAGGTCTACAAACTGCCACTGAACGCGCTAATTTCTGACAAACAAGCCTGCTTACCTGTGTATTTACACAATATGATCTGTGTGTTCCTAATAGGTTTTCTAAGACATGACACCAAAGGGATTTTCCAGTCTTCTGCAGTTCTGTACAGAAACACACATTTCTCTTCTACATCACCTGGATTTACGGTGGTTATCTATATCATCCCCGCCCATAGTGGTGCTGAGCGTTGCGTTGAGCTCTTGCTGCTCGTCATGCTGCAGGTAGAAGGCCTTCAGAGGGTTCATGGTCCAGTCGAACAAAGGGTCGTACAGCAGCACCTGTTGTGTATGTAGCCCAGTGCACAAACACACAGAAACACAAAAAGTCAATACCTAAACATGAGGTTAAAGAAAAAACATCACGTGTGATTTGAGAGGAAGTATGTAAGAATAGTGTGTGTGTGTGGAGGTGATCTGTCATGTTGGCACCTCTACAATAGTCAGCAGAGCTTCCTGAGAGCTCCTCATCACCTCCATGGTCTTCTCACAACACCTGACCACAGGAAACAGGTGACATTCAGCACATAAAACAATAAGGCCATCCGAATCCTACAGCGCCGCTGCTTTTTACAGGACAAATCTTAATCCACGGCTTGAGATTTGCAGTTCTTTTTTAAATTAGCTTTTACATAGTATTTATTTACAGTCACTTATAGCGTCACAAGCTAAAAGGTTTTCATAAACTAGTTGATTTTCACACTATAGTGACAAGATTCTGAAATGATGGCAGACTAGAAGGTAAGAAATTAATCTTAATATGTTATGCGTGTTTTTGAAAACAGGAGTAATGCATTGTACATACTGTGTGGTTCACTTGTGACCGTGTTTGTAGTTAATGGGCTCAAACGGCCATGGCAGGTCAACCTCACAAACATGACAACTGATGGAGACAAACACCCTCTGAAAACATTATCAGACCTCTCCTCACCTCCTGAAAACTCCCTCCACTCCAGTGATTCCCATCCCATCCACGATGTCTCTGGAGAGTCTGAAGGGGACAGTCTCTGGGGTGGGGAGGATCTTGCCTTGCTCAAAAGCCACGCCTGAACACCAAAAGCACGAAAAGAAAACAGAAGCGGGGACTGGTTACGATAAATGTTGTATCATGAGTTTCAAAGTTGTACAATGTAGAGAAATACATAATTCAATTTAAATTACAACTAATTCTACCTAAATCAATGTGCACCAGTTCAGCAGTCTGCTCATCAACCAGGATGTTCTGGATATGTCTGTCTCCCAGACCTAGGATGTAGCCAACTGTGAAGCAGAAAAGATAACACAGTAAATCACTGGCTGAATCAAGCAGACCTATGACATGCTGTATTCATAGTGCCTGGAGTGAGCGTGCAGTACTGTCTGCACCTATAGAGGAGGTGGCCACGCTGCGGGTGTAGGCCAGCCGTTTCTCCATCCACACCGCAGGATCCAGGAACCGTTCCATGCAGAAAAACCTGAAGACTGGCCTGAATTTCTTGCACACCTCATTGTAGGCTTGGAGCTTCCCATCAAATGCAAGTCTCTGCGCCTCCTACAGTGACATGATGACAGAGGATTAACAGGACAGGCTTTTGGTTAACAGTGCAGGATATTACGCAAGTGTTAAACGGTTTTGATTTACAAGGTTATGTCAGTTGAGCCTAATCATTTCAAACACAAAGAATGAAAAAGAAAGTCTGAAAAACAGGCGAAGCCATGTTAAGCAAAGTGAGACACCTGTGCTTTATTGAACTGCCTCAGTAATTGTGTTCAAGTGTGTTGTACTGTATGTTTTCAATTCAACAACACTGTTTCTGAGCAGTACCATCATCTTCATGCGGCAAGCTAAGTTGGTCCAGTCTTGAGGCCGGAAGCGTTTGTGTGCTCCTTTGTTGGGATCCACCAGAAACTCCCCGATGGGCACCGTGCCTGAACACCACTCCAACACGCCGCTGCGCTGCGAGAACGGCACCACCTGGGATGAAACACGAGTGAGACAGACAGGACATGATGCAAGTCTAAGTGCTTTGTGATGCTTTCACAAACACAGATCAAAGGAAATATGCAACAGAACGACCCAGTCCCGATTTATTATTCTCACTGAATGAAAAATAAAGGTTCAAAGGTGAGTGAATAAAGTGTGTGACCTTGTATCGTCTGATGTTGAGCTTTCTCTTGCGAGTGTCCGTGTTGCGTTGCAGCAGCATGGAGCACATGCTGAAGACCTGCTGCATCACTGCATCCTGCCGCAGGTCGTCCTGACCCTGGTCACAACAAGAGGGCAAAGGACAAGGAGAACATGTAGCATACTGCAACACCCAGGACCACTGAGAGGCTAATTCCATTTAATTTTGCTCGTTTCAACCTCTGTGAAGCGCACCGCTCCCATACATTGTGTCAGATCCACAATGTCTCATCAGTGCTTCAGAAGGCACATCATTCATTTGACAGTTTGGAAAGTTTTTCAGCTAAGCCACGTGATTCACATTAGATAAGAAAAGAGGGAAATGAAGGCGATGTACACTAAAATCATACTCATGAAAACATTCCCATCTAATACCAAGTAATAATGGTACTGGTTAATTTAATGAATATCATTCTCCCATAACATTGCATCACATTGTGACTCATGAAATGTTTGTTAAATATCAACCACAAAGTTAAAACATGGGTTACACTAAAAACACATTCAAATTTACTGGCAACCTATTTATTAATAATTTTACTCAAAGATATAACATCAAGATTTAATGCAGCAACTTTTGCACAAAAGTCGTACAGATTTAATAATAACACACACACACACTTGTTGGACTTTTATTGCACACACACAAGACTAAAATAATAATGTCACTGTGCTGAGGCCCCAGTGACAAAGTGAAGCAACATTACTGTTGTTTCACTCTGTGGTGAATTATTAGCCTGCAAGTATCCGTCAAGTGTTCCTGCAAACACACACACACACACACACACACACACACACACACACACACACACACACACACACCTACTGTCCTTTGATGAATGTCATCATTATAAAGGTGTGACAGTGTGTTTGCAATTCAAAAGACCTGGTATTTACCCTGATATGAAAACAGGGTGAATTATTACCAACAAACAAAGTGAAATGGAAAAGAACCGAAGTTAAGAGTGAGCTGGTTCCCTTCAGGGTTGGTCAGACTTTAATCACACATGACAGCAGCTTTAGCTTCAAAAGGGGATTTGTTTGGTTGAGAACAAACACATACACGAAACAAAAAGATGCGGAAACATACGCACACTCACCTTGACCAACTGTCTCTTGCTCTTTCCATCAGAACCAACACAGTCTATGATCTTGGGCAGGTTGACTCCTCCGACCAGGTGATAATGGGGCTTGAAGGCTTGGACAGTCACCAGGTTGTCATAGCAACCGGATGGATCCACCTAATTACACAATGAAATGACTCGTTATCATACAACACGCTAGCTAAAATTGTTGTTGTTAAATGTTAAACATCTCTGTGGACTACACATGTGGTGCCTTCGGTGGAGATGATGTGGTCTGGACTAGTTTTGTGCTGTACCGTTGTTTAACATGTGGGACAGGCACAAAGTGATCAACCATTGATTTGACATCATCAAAAGTTCAGTTAAAATTTCGTGTGGTTTGTCAGGTCTGTGTGTTGGTGTTGCCATTGCTCAAACAGCTTAGAAACAAAATGAACATGGAAACAAAAGACCTTGGTTTTTTTCCACATGAACGTAAAGAAAAAAAAACCTGCTTTACTGTTATTATTATAAAATAACACTCAATATCAGTCAAGTAACATCCAGTGTGACAATCAACTAAATAAAATCAATCCTTTTATTTTACCATCCCACCTCAGTCCTCCTCTGTAAAACTCAACAGGAGCTCCTTAATGTTCACCTTGATCTCTACTGTGGGGATAACAACCTCATCCAGGTTTTTGATCTGCATGATGGGCTGATCTGCAGGGATGGGAATAGCCTCTATAATGAAACAAGAACACAAAGGATGTCTGAGCAGCTGGACATGATACACACATTTACAGGTAGGCATAAGAGAGGCATCTCTCCCCCTTTTCATATTAATCAAACAGAAATGCCTCTCAACTGCTGCCATCTCTTTGTTCACGGAAAACCACTAAAACACAGTATAAATCATTTTTTCATCAGCAACATAACTACTCAAGTATGTAGCATCAGGATAACTGCTGGAATTTGTTGACATTTTAAGGACAGAACTCGCTGAGTCTTTGAAATGCCATCTAGTGTGTTGATGTATGATCACTGTGCTCTGACAAACTCACTCTTCTCAGTCTTGTGCTTGCTGGCATCCATATAAGCCAGAGTGATGTAGGCATCACACAGATACTCTATCCCACGGATCAGCTCCGCTCTCTTTTTTCTTATCATGTTAATGATCTTCCGGGCCACGTCCGAACGCTCCTGCATGGGAAAAATGTGACACAGGAATGGTGGTGTTTACAAAGCTCTACAGTGAATGAATGTTGAAAGGTGGCTGCAGAAAGAGGGAGAAAACATTCTGGTTTTTTCAAAGAGACTGCTTTAAATTGTGTCAATAGGAGGGAAGTCTACATGTTGAAACTGCCACTGACTATAATAGGAACATTCTTAATGCTGCTCCTTAATTCCAGGATCCCACAATGAAACTTTAAAAACCAACTTTGCAATTGCAGCTTTTGCACACAAGACAAGAGCCTGCCAGCCTGAAGGGGGAGCTATATTTGCCAACTAAGAAATACTTACTGAATGTTCAGTTAATGTTAATGTTCAGGCTGCACTAAGAAGTACTAATATGAAACATCTGACAAGTAGCTGTCAGCTAACAGACATAAAACATTATTTAACAAAAGTCTCACCAGGTCGAATGGAGATGGCTGCGGTGGAGCGCTCTTGGACGCCCGCGTCCTGCAGAAGCTCTCGTCTTTGTTGGCGTTCACCAGGGCGAGGATGATGAAGAGCGTGTGGTGAGGATGCTCCAGTGATGCTCGGCAGATCAGCTATGGGGGGTGAGGGTGGGGTGGGGGGGGGATCAAACAAAGCAGCACAGCAACTGTATTTTTTAATTCTGCACTTTTAACCATCATCAGTAACAAACAAAAATCTTATATTTTCTATAAAGGCCATTAAAGTTCAATAATTTATATTGGCTGGACTTCTAGTTTGCTTCCAATCATAAGGGTAAATCTGCTGACATTGGCTGTGTTTTCCAAAAAAAACCTGGGATATACTGTTGTTGTTATAGACAAATAAGTGCTGCATTACATTGTTAAGGACATCATGGAATCCCGCATCCTCAGTGCTGCCAGCTGCCATCTTGGTTCCCATGCGTGCAGCCAGCTGATACATGAGAGGCAAAAACTTGTAGGAGGGGATCTGTTTCACCCCTTTCTGAAACAGCATAATAGGAGCAGACTCTCTTAGAAGATTAAGTGAATTACATTTACACAATAGACTTTCATATCAAATTATTCTTAACTTCACACATACTGTAAAATACTACTACTGACATACAGTGCTATTTTTACTAACCTTCATCATGTCATTTATGGCTTTAACGTCAGCATTCTCCAGCCAGAGCGAAGCCAGGCGGAACACCCAGGTGTCGTGCTCCTCACCTTGTTCCAGACACTGGATGTAATTCTCCACTGCCTTACACAGGAAGCGCTGTCTGTCTGCCTGCAGGTTCGACAATGCCTTCTCATCCAGCTCCAGCTCTCTTTGCACCTTTATTGTGTATCTGCAAAGTCAGAATGGCAGGCGATGAGCAATGAGATCCATAAAATGTTATTTAAATGTGAAAAACCTAATAATTTAAAAAAAAAGCACAGACCTGTTGGATGACACTCTACGCTCCTTCATCAGGTCCACTTCTTCTTTGGCCTTTTCCAGCAAGGCCTGCTTGTTCTCAAACTCAGAGGAGCGCATGTATTTGTCGATGCTCTGGTACTGAGCATCAGAGAAGCGGGCAAGAGACAGGAAGGCCTCAGTCCTCTGACTCTGGAGCCTGGGGTCTTGCGCTCCTGAATGCCCCTCGATCACCTCCACTGCCTGAGAGAGCAGCACAGGAGAGGCCGCTACTAATCTGAAAAGGTAATAGCTCCTCTCACACTAGGAGGTTAAAGTCTCTGAAGTTATATGTGTTAGAGGGTGTTAAGAGTGTTTGATCAAGATACATATATTAGACTTTGAGACGCTTTAGATTCCTGGTTGCCTGTTAGAACATGAAGGATTTTCAGATCACGTTTGCTATATGAACATAACAAACAGCTCCTACTTGGAAACCGTTCTGCGCTCTAGAGCTCACAAAACTATTTGTTCTTACATCTGTTAGGTTATACTGGGGTTTTGTCATATGGACCACTGATATACTTGAGGTCTCGCAGCAGGACTTAAGCTTCTGCTTACCCTCTCCAGGTACTTCTCCAGTATCACTCCAGGATTTTCAAGGCAGGTCTCAGCCAACCAGTTTCCACAAAGCCTGAGACACTCAGTGTGGACTGGGGCCAGAGCAGGATCAAAGGCCACCTATTCAATATGGAGCAAAACAGATAGTAAGAGAGTGTGTAAATCTGCACAATCATGTTGCAACTGAAAACTAGACCTTGTAGGATTTACACTGGATGTCTAGCATCTCAGTAAGATTCATGTTAATCAAGTCAGGATCTTTCTTGGCCAATTCTGTTTTCTGATTAGTCTTAGGTCTGACCTGCCGATTCAGATTTCACAATATTTGTACTTCTCAGATATAAACAGGTGCAACTGGTCACAGAAAGAGAAGAATGTATGAGCACACAGTTCTTTTCAAAGTGTGTGTAGTTTGTATTTACTCTGTTTTACCATGGGTTGGATACACTGTACATATACAGTCCTTTGCAAAAGTATTCATACCCCTTGAATTTTTCCACATTTTGTCACATTACAACCACAAACTTAAATTATTTGATTGGGATTTTATGTGATAGACCAACACAAAGTATCGCATAATTGGAAGTGAAGTGGAAGGAAAATGATACATGGTGTTCAAGATTTTTTACAAATACAAATCTAAAAAGTGTAGCGTGCATATGTAGGTTGCATGCAACTTTACTCTCATATCCCTAAATAAAATCCAGTTAAACCAACTGCCTTCAAAACTCACCTAATTAGTAAATAGAGTCCACCTGTGTGCAATTCAATCTCAGTATAAATACAGCTGCTCTGTGAAAGCCTCACAAGTTTGTTAGAGAACATTAGTGAACAAACAGCATCATGAAGACTAAGGAACACACCAGACAGATCAGGGATAAAGTTGTGGAGAAGTTTAAAGCAGGATGAGATTATAAAACCATATCCTAAGCTTTGAACATCTCACAGAGTACTGTTCAATCCATCATCCGAAAATGGAAAGCTTATGGCACAACTGCAAACCTACCAAGACATGGCCGTCCACCTAAACTGACAGGCCGGACAAGGAGAGCATTAATCAGAGGAGCAACCAAGAGGCCCATGGTAACTCTGGAGGAGCTGCAGAGATCCACAGCCTAGGTGAGACAATCTGTCCACAGGACAACTATTAGTCGTGCACTTGACAAATCTGGCTCCTTATGGAAGAGTGGCAAGAAGAAAGCCATTGCTGAAAGAAAGCAATAAGAAGTCCTGTTTGCAGTTTGATGGATGGAGCTAAATACAGGGTTATCCTGGAAGAAAACCTGTTAGAAGCTGCAAAAGACGGGACTGGGGCGGAGGTTCAACCTTCCAGCAGGTCAACAACCCTAAACATACAGCTAGAGCTACAATGAAATGGTTTAGATCAAAGTATATTCATGTGTTAGAATGGCCCAGTCAAAGTCCAGACCTAAATCCTATTGAGAATCTGTGGCAAGACTTGAAAATTGCTGTTCAGACGCTCCATCTAATCTGACTGAACTGGAGCTACTTTGGAAAGAAGAATGGGCAAAAATTGCAGTCTCTAGATGTGCAAAGCTGGTAGAGACATACCCCAAAAGACTTGCAGCTGTAATGGCAGCGAAAGGTGCTTCGACAAAGTATCGACTCAAGGGGGGTGAATACATATGCGCGCCCCACTTTTCAGATTTTTATTTGTAAAAAATCTTGGACACCATGTATCATTTTCCTTCCACTTCACTTCCAATTATGCGATACTTTGTGTTGGTCTATCACATAAAATCCCAATCAAATAATTCAAGGGGTATGAATACTTTTGCAAGGCACTGTACATGCATGTAGCCAGTAATTCTCTCACTGTGTACTACTAGAGATTTGGACATGGCTCCCCATTCTCCAAGGTGTTTCTACAGTCTCCTCTGTACACTGTTCGTACACCAAGAGCTTCTAATGCACAACTGAACATGCACCCTGTACAGACTCAAGTGCGAGCCTGGCTCAAAATGCAAGCGAGATGCCGCGCACACACTACGCTTTTGGTCCGTCATGCCTCTAAATCTCATCGGCACACAATCTGAAACCACGCTGAAAACCGGCCATTTTCGATCTCTGCCGATTGATCGGTACATCTCTAGTAGTTATACTTTGAAAACTTGTTTCACTGCACAACATATTTGTGTTTGTATCTAACCTTTTCTTCTAGGTTATGTATCATCCGTCTCAGCAGGCCCAGAGCCAGCCCCTGCTCTCTCTTTGCCCAAAACACCTGGGCCTCCTCCAATTGCCATGACAACTCAGGGGATGACACCCAGGACCCTCCTCCTGCGTGCTCCTTCATCTGGAAAACTGCCCGCTCTGCCAGCTAGACACAGTGAATTCAGGATTCACAATCAGCTGACACTGTAATTGGTTCAATGTTCTTACCGCACACACATTCAGATCCTACCTGTGTATTCCCAGCCTTGCGAGCCAACTGGCAGAGCTCCATGAGGTGGCCTGTTAGTGCAGAGGTGATGTACTGGCTGCTGGTGGGGTCTTCTCCCACCTTGGACAACAGGGTGTGCTGGGCCACAGTGCGGACTGCCAGAATGGGCTCCACTAAAGCGAAGTCGCTGTTAACGAGGAGCTGGGAGTGCTGACGCCACTGACTGCAAACGTCCCTAAGAGTGTCATCTGAAAAAGGCCTGATTTACAAAGTATATAAAACATTAACATTTATTAGCGCTCATAAATTCAGTAAACCATTTCTTGTGTGACTGACTGTTGTAAGTTGTTGTTGCACTGCTATCAGCACCTGGAGAAGAGCTGTTTAACACTCTCCAGCTCCCTGATGCACTGCAGGTTCCTGAGGGCTGGGTACAGAGAAGACACAGCCTCTAGGCTTCCTCTGCACAGCTCTTCCATTTCTGCAGCCCTGTGGAAACATACATGCACATAGGTGGGTGAATGATTTTGCCAATGGAGAACTGAACTGGGAGTTAAAACTTGATATTTTATGAGTGTCTAAATGTCTATTATGTCTATATCTACCTGGCCTGTTTCAGCATTTCATCAAATGTGGAGAACTCTTTGTCCCTCAGTGCTTGCAGGGAACAAAACACTGATTCATGGAAGCCAGGTTTGGATTTTTCACTCCTGATACAACAATATTTTGAAGAAAAATATGTATTAAGTGAGAGATGACCAGTTTGTGTAAGAGACATGAGGGACATGTTTACTGCCCCTCACCTCTCGGACAGCTCACAGTCCCACTGGGTGATCCTCCAGGCAGCCTGGAAGCGGAGCTCCCTCAGCTCAGCTCCCCACTCCACCCCTTCACTCTCCAGACCCCTCATGTAGGTCGTGAGGATGCTGCTCAGGCCAAAGTTCTGCAGGCCCTGTTGGCACATGTGTGAGAGCAAACATCAACATTAAAGAAACTATTACATTGGAGTTAATGTATGAGCCATTTTATACTTACCTGCAAGTATTTATACTTTTGACCACCAAGAGGAGTATTTGTCTTCACTCTAGTATCACTATAGCATTTTAACTAAGCAACTTGCCAATTACCTCCACGATTCCCACTTGTCGTGTGACCTCAGGCAGAGTAGAGTGAAGGTCATAAGCGGTCAGGGCCTTCCCCCACATAGCCTCATGCTCATAGGTTCGAATCCTGTAAATTGAATTGGTACGAGAAAAAAATAAGCACTGCATGTAACTGGCTATGCTGTGAAACAGAACCAACCTCCAGAAATTCAGATTCCTAACAAGCACTTGATGTCAAGCTGAATCTTACTGATTACCTGGTCAACGAACTGGTCTCCCCTCCACAGCCGTACAAACTATCAGGCTCCCCAATGCTCCGATACACCTCAATCAGCAACTCCTGCAGACATGCAAGACAGTGTTTAACAAGATTCAACTAGAGACATGGGAATCATTTTGTGATTAATATAAATGTATCATGTTGTACTGATAAAACACAGTCATGATCTTTCATGTCTTTATTGAACACATCCATTGTGACTGGTGAAGGTCGGATCACATTTCATGACCAGTTTATGCAGAAAACTGCAAACCGTGCCAATACTATTTCTTGCAACTGAACTAAAATCCATTACAAGCTGTGAAGCTGACACTTATTATACACTAGACTCAACACTGTGGCAGAATCAGTTTTATCTTCAGAAACCTGAGCCCCTAACTGCTTTCTATTGCCAATATGAATAACGTTTCAAAAAATGAAGGACTGACCTGCAGACTGATGTTGGTGTCTTCCATACTCTTCTCAGTCAGGCTGGAGATGGTGAGGCTCTGGCTACTCTCTTCAAAATTGAGCTTCTGTGTTGCTCTAGACTTGATTCTGCAGATTTGGTAAATATACAGTCCAAAAGAGGGGAATTAGGTAAAACTCTTATAACACAAGAGAAGTTAAAAAGTGATCTAGACTTACCGTAGTTTTTGGGAACATGTTCTATTATTGTGACTATTACTCAAATAAAAACATGAGAACTGCAAAAAATATACTTATAATCATCAAATATAACAAGCAGAATACAGATGTATGGTGTGTTATGAAAACCTAAAATGAAATTAAAGCAATCCTATGTTGTTTTGTTCTGACATGCAACTAGCCATCAATTAAAATCCCATGTAAAATTTTTTTTTAACACCTTGCATACCTGCAACTTTCCTCCATGTTGGCTTTAATTTTATCAACATATATCTCAATGTAAAGCAGAGCGGTGAAGTGAGCTGAGCAGGACTGAGCAGCTTTGGCCACCTCCAAATAGTTCAGCTCCAGCCAGAAGTTTGAGTCGCACACCGTGGGGCATGAATTACTGGAAGAAGGATACAAAATTTTATCTTTAAGAAAGTCTACACTGCATGTCGGCTTACAAGCACGTACAACAGTAAAAGGCACATCAGCCTGATATGCCCTTAAAACAAAATTACTGTACATAAACAGAAAGAATGAAGAGTCTTCAAACCTGGACTTTTGACAAAAAATACACACCTATCAGACTCCAGTGGTCTCTGTTGATGTCTTAAGTAGTCAATAACTGTCAGCATGGTACGCAGTGAAGCCTTGTCATACAAGCCCTGGCTGGCAGTGTCCGACTCTGCACAGAAGAAGAGACGTTTATCACAAGCAGCAAATAAAAAAATATAGACTTATGAACACAACGATTTAACAGTTTACCAACTTAGATATAATTAACATAGATAAGACTGTGATATTTCATTTAATTAGAAATAAAAAGCTGGGGAGGAATCACATCATCACTGTTGGTTTTTTTTTGATAGCTGGGAGAAAAGATCATAGAGAATATCACCCAAAAAGTAGGAAGACACATAAATAAAGAGCCTATAATCCTGATAAATGATTTTAAAATATTATAAATGTGGTGAGGCCATAAATAATGAGGCTGAATCACTGTGTGTGGAAATAAAACAACTCACAGTGTAATGTGACAGTGTTTAAGACCAGCAAGCATTCTGGGTAAACATATAGTTTTGCACACTGTCTTTGTTTACTGGCAGTATAAAGACACAGGAGTAGGAGGGCAGGGAGGGCTGTTAACTGGAGGGACAGTCTCAGACTTACCAGAATCAGAGTTGAGAGGTGTGGCAGACCGACTGCAGGCCTGAGCACTTCTGGAACAAAAGCTGAAAAAGTCCTGGATGTGGGACGAGAGCAGCTTCCTCCATGAACCGTCGACGTCATCTAGAAGGATGGAGTGGATGATGAGAGGTAACAACTTTTGACAACAGTCCACCCTCACCTGGAGAAAGGAAGAATAAATAAGGGGTGGTTACATCTAGGAATTTGGATTAGAGGAATAATTTGAACCTGAACTGCATATGGCAAAATGTGGACAGCAACTGTTACAAAAAAAATAGAACTCACATACAGTATACACATGAACACAATCTAAACAGACTGATCCACATTCAAACTGAGATATGATGAAATGAATAATGTGTGAAGGATTTCTGGAACAAAACCATTCTGTTCATGTTGTTACAAAAGATGTGGCTAATTTGCTCTCTGGCTTCAAATAACCTATTTAAACACTTTAAAGATACAGACTTGAAGGGCATGACTGATGCAGACAGTCCAGTTATGAAGGGTATGTGCTCACCAGACACAGCGGTCGCGACATTAGCAGCGCCTCACTCCTGACACCACCGCTGTCCAGCAGGGTGGCGCACAGAGCCTTCAGCCAGGCCTTGTGGCCGACCGCCTGAGGAATCCAAAACTTCTGTTCCTCGAGCCTCTCCCGAGCCTTTGACCTGTCTTCAGCACTCACAGCCATCACCTAGTCAGGGACAATAGTGAGTAGTATCTGAGCTGATTACATGTAAACACATATTCCTACTTATATTGACAACATAAGAAACGGATGACTGTTGGATGTTTTTGTTAAGTGCCTAACCCACCATGCTCTTGGCCTTTCTAAAGGGATTGAGGTAAATCAGCATGTGGTCTTGGCTGTCTTTGTTTTGCTCCCAGAAGTCCACTCCCGACTGAGCGGCGAGGATGTTTTTCACACACTGAGCTGCTGCCCGCCTCACCTCAATACTGACAGATAATCACAGTGGAAAGTACATCAGTTAAAACACACTGCGTGTCCATACTCACGCACAACAAACTTTTGATTACTGAGATTTAGGAGTCACTACCGCTGTTGAGTGAGCGCATCATTCATGCAGCTGAGGATGATGAAAAGACAACGCGAGTCAGTGGAGGTGAAGCGAGACTCAGCCTTTTCATAGAGGGGATCTCTGCCATGGAGCAGGGCGATGGTGGAGAAATCCACTGGACCCAGTTCTCCCAGACAGCTCCCTGCTGCTTCTGCAAGAAAAGATAAATGTACTTAGAAAATCTTCAACTATGTAAAATGATTAAACTATTGAGACATGATAAAGAATGCAACACACTACAGCTGTAAAACTACTGATATTATACCTAGAATGTTGGCCCCTCCAGGATGGCTGCCTGCTAGCTTACAGAGCTGTAGCAGACTGAGAACCAGCTTCACCAGCACACTATCAGTAGGGTCAGCTACAGTGAGGACAGAGAAGCTCATTACACATTTAACACAACGAAACTTTTTATACATTTTTTTCTCATTTGGTATCACACCGTGGCACTCTTTGAGCAGCCCTCTGATCTGTCCCTTGTTGTCATGCAGCTGTCGGGTCAGCTCCTTTAGTCCCTCCAGTCTGGTCAGGGGTAAGGAGTCACAGGACGTCACTGACAGAAAGTGGGTTATCTCCTGTAAAAAGGTAACATGTCGCATATACGACAGCAATGATGTTCAGGAATTGTTGTACTCCAGTACTTTCATCATGGGTTAACACAATAAATAGCAATACAATGATTTAAACAAAATAATAAAAAGGAAAAGACAGAAGTGATGTTGATGTGTGTGTGTTGTGTACAGGCTGTGAGTTGTTGTTGCTGTTACCTGTCTAAGTGTAAAAGTCCCATTGTTATACTTGAGTTTCTGCTGTACAGACCGCAGCTGTTTGAATTCAGGGAGGTTGGGGAAAGGCTCCAACCTGCTTATGGCTCCCTTCAACTTCTGCTGGTTCTCAATCACGAGAAACTGCAACAGACTGAGCGCCTGGAGGACCAGAGAGAAGTACAAATGGAAAATATGTTGCTCATAAATACAAAAAAAAAAAAAAGGCAGCAAATTCTCAGGTACAAAATAATGAAAATGTCTCCTTAATACAGCTTGTTAAATGACAAGTATCATTTGGAAAATCCTGGTAAGTTAGGGTTACCAAAATACCAAAACAAAGGTGCATATCAAAAGAGCAGACAATCCCTGTACAAAATCCTCAAGCTCCATGATATTTGGTGGTCAAAAGTAAATCTTTTGCACATGCAAAAAAGTTTATTAAATGAGCACATAAACCTGTAGCCAAACAAGTGGGCATTTTGGTCCAATACATAAAATCCTATTTCAGTGGTAACATGGATGCAACATTTTGTTGAATTTGCTTCGCTGATGTGAACTATCTACATGTTGATGCACTGCATTCTATATCACGTCAGCAGACCTGAATGAAAACCAGCAACTTGGTGTCCCTTACCTGCTGTGAGACGGCAGGCTGGCTCATCACCTGAGTTGTGAGAGTTCCAACAATGACCTGTAGGTGGCAGTCTATAGCGTCATCACAGAACTGCAGCGCTGCCCGACACACAGAGGACAACAGGTCACAGCACAGAGAGAGGCTCCTGTTAGAAACCTCATCACACTGGACTGGTCTGTGGGTGAGAGACAAAACAAACTGGTGAAACTCTTGTGTCATTTGTATTTGTACAGAGTATGTAATATCACATCTACACCAACCTGCTGTTGATATGGTGTACGAGTGTGTAGATGATGTCTCTGAGAACAAAGGCCCAAGATCCTCCCAGACCGCCCTTTAACTCTCTAAGCAGCAGATTGACAAACAGGTGATACATGAGGAAAATACGATGACGTTCATAGCTGTTGGTCGTCTCCGCTGCCCGTTCACAAATCGCCAGCAGAATCCTCTGGATGGAAATCTACAGTGCAAAGACAGAAGACTGTTATAACAACATGGCATAAAACAAGGAAAAGACGAACAGTTAAAACTGCTGGAAAACAGCAAAAAGTGACAAGAAGCTCAACTAATACATAACAATAAAAGACAAAGAAAACTGACATTAAAGCATAGTCTTACCGGAGTTTTTGACAGAATGGCTACCAAAGACTTGTGGTTTGCACTGCAACACTTGCTGAGATAATCCAGAGTAGCTTTGATGACGTGGGAGCTGAAGTATGGTGGGTTTGGTACAGGGTCCAGTTCCCTTAGAGGTGTCAAACAGTAATCTAGTCATATAATTTTCTTTTCGTTCTTAGATATTTAAATTGATGGACAAAACACTGCCGAGAATGAAACTAAGGTGTTGAATAAATAAGTACGAGAACCAACAAATAAAAGAATCCTAATAAAATTAAATCAGAGCAAATATCAAATTTTCATTACCCTATAAAGCCTTTCAGGTCTCCACTGTCACCTTCGCCTCCTTCATACAGAGTGAGCAACAGTTCCACCACTATGTCTGCCAGGTTACTCTGGATCAGGTTGTCAATTTGCTGCAGAAACATTGGGACACCCATGTGGCAGGATCAAGTAAAGTTGCCATTCAATTACCATATCTTTAGTTAAATGTGGCATACGCAGTTGAGCCTGTGATCCTGTATGACTCTTTGTTCAAATCTTAGCACTAATATATAGCACTCATCAGCAACTTCAGACCGGGGCAACACATTCTAAAATGTGCAAAACACCTCAAGTAAATCATGTATATTATAAAACACTCGCAGCAGTCACAGAAGACTGATCTTTTGCACCGCAGATTTTAGCTTACACTGCTAATTGTAATGTGATTTTAGACTGGTGTACTGGATTCCACACTTGGTCCTGGAAATGACCTTTATGCATCCACAGCAGAGTGATTAAATTATAAAAGCTGTATAAAATGCAAAGTCAGTTCCCAGATGTTGATGTAGGATGATTTATGGATCCATCTTCACCTGTTTGCCCAGACAGTTGGCATCTTTGAGCAGATCATACACCCTGTGGGCCTTCTCTCTCTGCTGTGTAACTTGTGAATCATGACCAGATATGACAAAGTACGGCAGAATGTTGACCATGATCTTGGGGAAACAGTCGGCCAACAGCTGTTTCCAGTCCTTCTCCAGACACCTGCCGATAGACTTCACCGTTAAAAAGTCATCCAGGAAGACCAGGTGGGGGATTAGCACCTGGTAGGAAGAGCTGCAAGAGGGCAGATGCAAAAGGGGGGGTTGGATGTTATCATTAACCCTTCATTAATTGTGTTATGACACAACATGAAAGCAATAGAAGACATTTGTTCCCTCACTTATAGAAATCTTTGACCATGTTGTGGTCTAGCAGGGTGTAGGGGAAAGATCCAAGACAGTAGCGGTCGTCAGACTGTCGCTGGCCGAGCCACTCAGCCACCAAGTAGTTTAGGTGTGAGCTGACAAATGTTTTTATGCTCCTGTAGCCCAGTGCTCTGGATACACTGCACAACATCTGTCAAGAAAAAAGTTCATTGGTTCATCTTACTCGGCTCTTTCTGTAGGCCATTGTTTTATGTGGCTCAAAATGAAATACAAAAACATATTAGGTTAGTGATGCAAAGTAAGATTTAACTGTCAAGTATTTGGACTGATACAGAAACTATTTTCATCATTTTATTTTGTTTATAAACCTGCATCTTGAACCTCCATGTCCACAAAGCACAGGGCCCTGAAACCACTACCTTTTTGATGAGCTGTTCCTCGATATCGTTTTCCTTGTAGGACTGGAAGAGGGCGAACAGAGACAGTTTTTCACACACGGGGCTACAACACAGCACAACGGACAAACTCTTCAGCAGGGTGGCCTTCCGGTTGAACGCCTCATCTTGCTGCTCCTCTGAAGAGCTGCTTCTCTACATATGATCACACAGACACAAAATGTGTTAGCAAAGTCAGACAGAAACAGAAAACCCATAATAAAGTATTCCTGATTTGTGACAGCAGTGAATGAACTTACCGGGAGCCTCATTCCTTCCTGAGCCTTCAGGTAAACATTTTCAAAAGCAGCCTGCTGGTGTTTTAGCAGCAACATCTTCCTTTCTTCTGGATGATCCAGTTTCACCTCCACAAACAACCTGGATACAAAAGAGAATAATGCTGACACTGAAACCTATGATGCACTTAATTAAAAGTAGTTACTGGTCTTTTTATCATGCTAAAATTTTATATCTCTACTACTTAATATACTGTATATTACTCTATGAAATTTATCCTGATATATTATCTGTAGAGATAAATCAGCTCTCAGCTGCAGCACACCTCTCCAGTGACATGGCTACCAGCATGCGGACTTGGTGGTGGGCATCTGCAAGGTAAGATGGAAGGATGACAGACACCGGACGGCCCTCTTCTCTGCCAGGGCTCAGGACTGCCCACTTACAACATGGGTCAGCCTGTAAGAGTGGAGACATGTCAAAAATACACAACTATTCAAGTGATACTGAAACTGAAGCATAAAAATGACATTCAGGAAAAGAAGAGGGGGAAAAAATTGTCATTTGGCACCTGAGAAACATTTCTCACTTTATACTGTAGCTTCAGTGATGGAAATCTTCTGACCAACAAGTCACTAGTCCCTCAAAGTTTGATAAATTGCTGCTATAGGGTCTTCATGCTTAATATATTCAGAGTAATATGAGCAGAGAAAAAAAACTAAACCAATACTACATACTGTATATTCCCAGACTCCAGAGAGCTTACCTCCAGCAAAGCAACCAGACATCGTACTAAAGCAGCTCGCACAGTTGCAATGCATTTACCCGTTTGGCTCAGGAAGCTAAAAAAGAGAACAGTGACAGATCTAGTAGCAAAACCTGAATCACAGGAAGTATAAACAGATTTTAATAATGACTGAGCATAGACTGACATTCATGCAGATTCACATAAACCAGAGCTTTCCCATTTGAAACATCTTTTCTTGTTGCAACCAGGAGAGGCACATAAAAAATGAAGGCTCCTTGCAGTAAGCAGAGGCCTTTCAGATCAGTGTCAAATCTGGTAATGGTATAAACATATGCCACTTACCAGAATCCAGACACCACTTCTAGCAAAGATCCCTTAACATGTCTCATCTCCTCCAGCATGTGATGGGTTTTCCCCAGGGTCTTGATGGAAGGTAACAAACCCAGCAGCACAGCAGCACAGATGTCTTGGTCCTGACGGTACAGGTTACACAGGTCACTGTAAACAGAGTAAAACGGGCACACTTTATTACTCACAACAACACAAACAAATGAGTATGTGTGTAGAAGAAAGGTTTTCTTACGCCAGAGAACGGAGCAGCGAATCAAATTCCTCTGGAGAGAGAGAGTCCTCTGTGGGAAGCTTCTTCAACAGGATAAGATACTGGAAGAAAATCAAATATTAATGTTCAGCAGCTAAAGCATCATTGCCACTGCCACCATGACTCTCCACAGAAGCTACTACTCACCATATTGATGTGGAGGGCTTTGCTGAAGTCTATCTGCTTGACCAGCAGCAGCAGCCTGCGCCGCACCTCCTGTGGTTTAAAAAGGAGGCCGTGGATGGGCTGGGCAGAGCCACACTTACACAAGAACTCCAAGACTGCAAGAAGAGCCAGGTCCTGCTGGGCCAGATGGTCCTCTGCTAACAGGCTTGTTGCACCTAATGAAGGACAGAACCAAGCAATTTAAGCAAACCTGTTTTGCTGGCTTCTGTTTAACACAACCTGAACAATCATGCATTTTTTAAAAGTTTCTCTGCTTGATGTAAGCAAACTTCGATCCACTTGTATTAATAAACCAATAAAACACTCGTAATCAACTATGCATGTGCAAACATTGCACTGTTTACTACACTGACAATATTTATAACAACGCTCCAAGCAGGGTGTTATTTTGCAGACCTAAAACAGGACTAAGATGCATCATGCTCTGAGGACTAAAGTACAAAATTAAAGACAAATGCTACTAACAACAGCAGCAGCTACTGTCAGTGGACATATTGGATTTCTCCACTTTTATATTATTGTTAAATGTCAGTTTGATATTCTGAAAAAAGAAAAAAAAAGAAAAGAAAGCATGACTGCTGATGTTATTACATCTTTAGATGCAATAGAATATAAGGTAAATATTCTGACATTTGACCAGTACCTCTATTAGGGAGGGTGAGATCTTAAAAACTGATACTTGTCAAGCATATTAACAATACTGAAGGAAACAGTCTATTTTGTGTGATAAAAGCTTGCACAAGTTTTTATAAATTATACCAATTTTTCTAATCCCAAAAAAGGCACTAATTTAGACAGCAATTTGATCTCATCTTGCCTGGCCCATAGGAAGTGTCTGTGTTTTCTCCCTTCTGTCTGTGGGTCCCATTGTTGCTGCTATGGGACTCTTCACCATCCTCAAACAGGTCGATATCATCCCCTTGTTGAGTTCTGGTAATCTCCCCGTCAACATCTATAGGATCACCATCATCCACAACACTGACTCTCTTAGAGACACTGCTTAACTGAAGAGACAAATGAGCAATGTTGACAAGACAAGGAAATAAGTCTAATTCAGTTCTTTTCTTGAAGATTTTTATGTTGTTATCCTCAGGCCACAAACGTTTTGTATCTGTTGTGTATCTCCTACCAACAGTTTGCAGATCTCTGCCAGTTCACTGAGCAGAGTAGCAGGCAAAATCATAATAAAAAGGCGGGAGAAGACAGAACAAACGTTATCCTGCAGAAGAAAGGACACATAGTAAGTAAGTTCATTTTATTTATATGGCACTGTTCTAGATCAAAAGTCAGACTGCTTCACACAAAAGTACAGAATGCAACTATAGGGTAGACCCTATAAAATAGGAATATCTTCATAGAAACAACATAATAAGAGCACTACTAAAAATTTCAACATAATAAAATCACTACTCAAAAGCCATTTTTAAAAAAATGGGTCTTGAGCTGTTCGTTAAAAGAGAGTTCCAGCTCTTTCACACCAGACTGCATTTTGAATGTGTGAGTGTGTGCAAAGACTGAAAACGCTACGGTCAAATGGATGATTTTTTTTTTCCACCTTGTCTAATCCGCTGGCTGGCTGTGTGCAGAGCTTCATGGTGGATCTCAGTGTGGTCATGGTCCCTTCCTCTGTCATTTTCACTTTCACAGTAGAAACAAAATCTTTGAGCTCCTGGGCCAGGGCCTGGAAACATTGCAACACTAAAAAAATGACTCAACTGTCACTTATGGAAAATAACTGGATACAATATGAAGAAAGGGTCCCATGTTATCAGGACTGGCTAGGATGAGTAAAATTTAAAGGATGAATTTATATACTTTCTGTATGTCTAAATGCATACCTTGGCTTTAGTGAAGAGCTGTGAGCAGCAGGCCTCCTCCTCAGCCAAATATCCGGTGGCGATATAACCTGCTAGGACACCAGTCAGCAGAGTGAAACAGCGCACCAGACACTCTGGAGAGGTGGACTGAGACTGTGGAGATTGGATCAGAAGAATTACCAGTCTGTCACTATGATCATGACAAAGACACATAAACGCACATCTATCAGCTTCCACTCACATCAGGAGAGTAGCAGCTGAGTAGGCTGTCAGCCACACAGAGAAGGGACTGCTCCAACTTGTTTCTGAGGCTGGGGACTACAGTGAATTGGCTGTCGGTTTGTGACATCTTCATTGACTCTTCAGTCCCTCGAATGTGTGAGGGCAGCATGTTAAATCCGAACTGCAAGTACAGCCTCTCAATCTCTTCCAGGCTGTCTTTGGGGCTGAGGGATGCTTGTTCTTGAAAAAGTGCACTTCACAAAAAAGTAATTGAAAACTGAGTTATTTTTATTCTAAACCTTAAAGTAAAAAGTAGGCAGAGAGTTGATATCAATGTAGCACAAATTTTAAATGAAATATAACTTGCTACGTATCAATAAAGATGACAAAACACTACTGAAAGGGGTTGAACCTTACCACTCTACTCCCTCAGCACCCAGCAGAAACTTCAGGCCAGCTCTGGTGTCTTTCAAGGTAAGGGAGACCAGGATGTTCGCTATTAGACTGTAGGGAA